GGGGGGGGGGAGGGAAGGTATAAGGAACTGGCCAGAAAATGGCAACAACCACATCTCTGTCTGATGGGATATAAATCTCGCAAAACTAGAGAAACCTTCTCTTCCCAAGCTCCTCTAGTGGGATGTGAAGAAAAGCAAAGCAATCGTACATCAACAATAATGTGCAATGAAGACTGCTAACAACATCTGTGGCAGGAGTTGTGTAAAATTTGAATCACAATGTGAACAGGTGCTACATGGACTCAGGTGAAGCTGAAAAGGGGAAGGAATCAAAGCAGGAGAAGGGTAGGGGAGGGGGAAGGGAACAAGGACTTGCCCGTGAATGACCAGAGGTATTCCCATAAGACAATGGGAAGATGAATAACTATAAGCTGGAAGGTTCACAGGCTTCGGCCATCTGCTGACAAGATACAGGAGATGTGGGAGGAAGGTGAGTGCCACTGAACAGAAGGGCACATGAAGCAGGCTCAGATAATTGAGAGTCAGAGGGCTTCAGATACAGAGGAAGGAGAACAAGATTAAAGGGGGCTGAATGTGAAGAAAAAAAGGGAACTGCAGACAGATAATGGAAGAGGAGGGCAGCCTCAGAGACCTGAAGCTACGTATAAGTACAGTACATAGTTGTTGCCATGGGGTCACCCTAAAATAAGAGATAAAATAGTTATACCTATTGGCTCAATTACTGTGTGCTACGTAAGTAAATGCTTTCAAGAATACTGAAATATAGTTAAAATCCTTCCTTCCTTCCATTCATTAGCAGAAAGAGATCTCGTAAAACAAATAACTCAAGTGCTTCCAGATAATGCTTTCTCATAATAAAAACAGCGACTCTTTCTAAGGGCTTCCACTTTTCTCTCTGTTTAAAGAGTTGGGTGATAAATTCCAAACTGCTGCCTGAGGAGGAAACCACACCCTCCCTCCACAAGCCTTTTGCAGACTGCATCTGTATTCATCTTAAGAAGCTAACCTGGCACCAACAATGGCCATGATACTTTGGGACTCTAATATATAATTTTTGAGCTTCCCATAAGATCTTGGTGCGCAGCCTGAAGAAGATGAATTATCACTGAAAGCTAGCTGACTGTTGTTTGATTTTTAAGTGGTCTAATAAAGGTATCACTTGCTCTTGCAGTTGTATTGCTTTTCTGATTTTTTCCCCCAGTTTTCAAGCAATACAAATTTATAAGATTGGAAACAGTGACACCAACACAAATGTCTTATTAATACTTTTTGTTTACTTTCGACTGTTTTCATCCTCTGCTTTGGATCTGTGGTTAGCTGTTAGGCCAACAGAAATGTGTTCTTCAAAGGCTTAAGTATAAACAAACCATGTCACATTTTTCTGGAGTTGTAATTAGTGATAACATGATGAGAAGGCTCTTCCCAGTATTCAGCCAAGCACTTGCACTGTGACCCAAAACTTGTTCTTATAGATGTTTCCTCTCAGTTTCTAAATAAATTTTGTTCCTCTGTAGAGGGCTTTATCTAGCTGGCTGGATAGCTCAGTTGAGTTAGCTAGTTACTTGGGAGTTTTGATTCTCATAATGTATCCTGGGAAAATAGCCAACCTGGGTAGCCTTGGGCAAATGGCACAGCCCAGGGCGCCATTTTTTGATCATACCAAGAAAAACTCTGGATGGATTCACCAGAAATCAGAACTGATTTGATGGCACATCAGCAACATTAATGAGTTGCGTCTACTTTCAGTATGTACAGAGATGCTGAAGCTGCCTGTCTGTCTGAAGACTGGGTTATAGCCTGAAATTTTTCTTGTGGTTAGCAGACAGGTTGTTCTTTCAGATTATGTCTTGGAAGCCATGTCATGAGCTTGCCCAGTGGAGTCGAGCTCTCTACAGGTGAATTTGAATGACAATATCTCAATGGAAATATCACCTCACATATTCAGAGCAGAGCTGACTAGAAACATTTTCAGCTACAGGGCATGCTGACAGAAAGTGACTCATTATGAACCAGAAAAGGGCAGCTCACAGACATTAAGAAAGAGTACATTTCTCTTTATAAGAAATACTGAACTCACTACCCCCTGCTATGTATACCGAAGTCACTTAGTCTCAGGCTTTGCAGTCATGGATAACTTTAGTATTGTTAGGGGCTAGAAAGAATTGGTGATAAGATTCAGAAAGTGTTTTGACATATCAGGAACATGGTTTGTGCAAGACATGTATCTAGTGGTTTGGAGACCAAGAACCAGGAAATCTGGAGTTGGTATTAAGCCAAAGTCTGTGAAGACAGTCATCCCACTCCACGTAGGGAAATGCATATGTGAGAGAAGACTTCTGCACACATGCTATTTTTATGCAGGAGCTGATGGCACAAACTGGAGACCCTTTTAGATTGCTTATTTCAATTCTGGTATTGTCTACCTATACCGTATTACTTTCAGCTAGATGTGAATCTGAAGGGATATTTCTATCTGTATTCTGATGCTGCTTGTCATGCATTACTATATAACTGGTGCAATCAGGCTAAGTAAATTTAGGTGCGGCTCTTGGAATCTAGAAGCATTGCAAACACATTTTGTATAAGACGCAGTGAATGCAAAAAGCAATCACCTGCATCCAATATTCCATATCTGCTCTTTCCATATATGTATACTCATTGCCCATTAATAGTGTTCTTACAATGTCTGCCAGTTCATCTCTCTGCCCTGCCAGTGCAGTTTCCAAGGGACTGCTGGTGTGCAAGAGCTGGCTGGTAGGTAAATGCTGCTTGTGAAAAGGCTGGTACACAGGAACACCGTAACAAAGATGTTGCACTGAAATGAACTTCCCATAAGTAAGCGCTTTTCACCTGCTCTCTCTTGCTTTCCTAATGGTTGCGTCAAGCCACTGGGGGCTAAATGGATTTATACATGAAGTGCATGCTTCCCTCCTAGGGTGAACAATCTGTTTAGGTGGAGGGAGTTTTGTGAAAGCCATGGTAGGGAGAGAAAGGGTAAATGCCTCTCCCACGCACTCTATAGTTCTGAGCCTGATCCCACTCCTCCACCACTATCCAGACTTCTTTTTCAACAGCAGATGTATTAGGTGCATTCAGAGATTGAATAGGTAATCTAGTTCATCCAAAAGCACATTTGGGCTATATTTCCACATCCAAATTCAAGACTGCCTTTAAAATATTCTCTCTCTCTCTCTCTGACATTCTTATTGTTCCAGAAATCAACTTGCAAACAAAAGCATGCAGTTTTGTGTTTTTGGAGTACAACTCCCCAAATTCCCCACAAATCTGTACACCTCTATCAGCTACTCTTAGTGTGCAGCTGCTTTTCCAGGTTTCAGACAGGAGCCTTTCTGATGCAGCTACTAGAGATTGGAACCAGGACTCAGAGCAGGTCGTTTCTCTCCCAACGACTGTTTTTCAAGCTCATCTATTTCAGACGAGAGAAGGCGTGATGCCCAGTTTTCCTTCCTTTTAGAGGACCACTATGTCCATAACAATCAATCTTGCTCGGCACCTCCCACCTTCATGAGGTTATTGCACGAATCATCCTGCCAATTAAGCGATGCATCACAGGACCATCCGACTGGCTCAGAGGAAGAAGCTGCTCCCAGTTTCTTCTCTGGAAAATGGAAAGGCAACTCTCCTCTCCTGAGTGCTGCCAGCAGAGATGATTGTGTCCTGCTCTCACCCCACCACATCTTCAGCAGTACTTCTGCAATCCAGACTGTCTCCTTACCTTTGTTTGCACAAGCCATCCATTGCAAGGGGGTGACATCATAGTTGTGCTGCCCAACAGAAAAGGTGAATACTCGCACCTGTGAAAAATGACACAGAAGGCTTCTTTTTAATGCAGGAACATAAATTAGAAGTGTCCATCATCAAGTCCAAGGGGTTCACTGACATCCCTGACCCATAGATAAAATGGTTTCATTAGAAATATAAGCAAGCGTACACACAAGAACATCTCTCCACCCCAATGTTCATTCAAATGGCAATTAAATTCTTGCCAGGTAGAAAGTTCAATTCCCCATTGTGCCTCCTGTGAGTAGAGCCAGCCTGGGTGGGCTTGGGCAAGCCACACAGTCCCAGGGTGCCCTTAGAAGAAGGGAATAGTAAACCACTTGTAAGTACTCTCTACCCTGAAAACTCTGAAAAGAGCTGCCATAAGTCAGAATTGATTTGACAGTACTTGATTATTATAACTAAGAACCAAATTGTATTCCTACAGGTCAGCATGAAACAGCTGAATGTCACCTTCCCCCTTCTGGATTGTCAGATATAAGCAACCCTGCCACTCACCCAGAAATTGCCTTTTGATATTTGCTACAATCTCCAAAAAGTCAGATCATGGGCACAATGGAATCTGGCTGCACGCAACTAGTTGGCTATAGCCAGGAGCTCAATATACACAGCAATGTTCAAGTGGATGCTGTGTACCCAATATCTCTGTGCAACACTGGATGTGCCTGAAACGTGATTTACATTCTATGCAGCTGTATGGCTTGATGAACTCTGTGTATAATTAATAGCTTGCCATTTGGAAGCTCAGTTCTTGACAACTGTCTGTATCACATTTAATTAGTAGAACAGAAATGTTTATTTGTAAAGTTGCAGCTGGCCTTCACCCAAATCCTCAAAGTGGCTCGCAAAGTCCATACACTCATTGACAAAATGAAGCTTTTAATATGACATACTTAACCAAGTGTCAGTTCCCACAATCATTGAATAGACAGTACCTGCAGAAAAAAAATGCATGAACATGCTGGTGCTTCTTGCTTCTCAATCCCATTACCACTACCCATTAATTGTGGTGTTTCCTTATGTTGTAGTTTGCTAGAAACATAATCCAATGTAGGATGGCAACAGGCCAGGAGTTTTCAAGAAGCTGGAATGCATCCAATAGCAGTATGGAATGGGCTTAAAATGAAGCAACTGAAATTGTTCGTACTGCTCTTCATCACATACCAAATCACACAAGGATGAAATTATACTGGCCTTTGTTTTTTTCAAATAAAATTAATATTTCTGGACATACTTTGCATGAAGGGTGAAAACCGTTGAACTGCAATCCAACTTTCACTTACCTCAAAGCAAATCCCCATGGATATAGTGGGATACACTTCTGAGCAGCTATTAGTCTTTTTTTTTTTGACTCACAGATTACAAGTATATCTCATAAACTGACACACTACAGTATGACTCCTTATCACCCTTTTTGTTGGAGGGCATGGTTGGTCCAATTTACCCCTATCCTCTAAATTAATAAACTCCAAAAAATCATACTATTGTCAGTAGCTTTGCTCAGGTCTGATCAAGTACTTGCAATTAAGGCTGCAATGAGTGTGAGCCCCATTGAATTCAGTGGAATTAGAAATATAAAAGACTGAATTTCTTCTTCTTCTTTAATTATTAAGAAGGAAAATTACAATTAATAAAACTAAAACTAAAATACAAACTCAATAGTGACTACACACAATACACATTCATAGAATCATAGAAAAGTGAAGTTGGAAGGGGCCTACAAGGCCATCAAGTCCAACCTCCTGCTCAATGCAGGAACACAAAGCATTGAACTTTTCCCATCCATGCCACCTTCACCCTTGGGACTAGGTGACCATAATATCAATTAGTACCACTTGATAAAGGGACGTGGTGGCTCTGAGGGTTAAACCGCAGAAGCCCTGGGCTGCAGGGTCAGAAGACCAACAGTCATAAGGTTGAATCCATGTGATGGAGGGAACGCCTGTCGCTTGTCCCAACTCCTGCCAACCTAGCAGTTCTAAAGCATGTAAATACGTGTAGATACTGTAACTAGGTACCACCATGGTAGGAAGGCAACGGCATTGCGTGCCTAATCATGCTGGCCACGTGACCATGGAAACCGTCTATGGACGAACGCTGGCTCTACGGCTTGGAGATGGGGATGAGCATCGCACCTTGGAGTCGAACACGACTGGACTAAATGTCAAGGGGAACCTTTACCTTACCTAACCACTTTTCACCCCATTCCTCTCCAAAAGTACATTGATTCTTCTGCTGGTATATAGCCTTTTCCCTTCAAAGACATACTCCATGTATAAATTCCATACATCTTTGAAATCATTAGACTTTACCATTCCTCTCATTATTTTCATTTCACATTTTAATTTATCATTAATTCCTAAACTCCACAGTTCTTGATACAAATCTTCAAGGTTGATTTGTTTGTTGCTTTTCCAGTTCTTTCCAAATGTTAATCTTGCTACATAAACATTATAATAACTAACCCTTTCTGATCTTTTTTTTCAAATGATCATTCTTCATTATGTAATTCATAATAATTGGTGATATCTGAATCCAATCATTTTTTGAATTTCTTTAAAAACCAGTGCCCATCCTTTCTTTCTTATTTCACATGTCCACCACATATGCATATAGGTTCCTTTTTCCTTTTTTCATCTCCAGCATTGAGATCGCATATTATTATTTATTATTTCCAGTCTTACTAGGATTGAATCTCTGAGTAGACATACAAGGATTGTGCTCTAATTGCTTTTAATCCCCACTTCAACCAAAGAAGGCCTTCCTTTTAATCAGCCAGATATGGCGGGAGCCTTGTGGTGCAGTTATTAAACTGTAGTACTGCAGGTAACAGGGTCATGAAGAGTCAGACATGACTAATTTATTTATTTATTTATTTATTTAATTTATTTATATCCCGCCTATCTGGTCGGGTCAGGACCACTCTAGGCGGCTAACAACTAAACGACTAAACAACAACAACAACTGCAGGTAAAACTCTGCTCACAACCTGGGTTCAATCTGAGGTAGCTGGCTCAAGGTTCACTCAGTCTTCCATCCTTCCGAGGTCATTAAATTGAGTATCCAGCTTGCTGGGGGGGGGGCAATGTGCAGCCTGCATAATTAAATTATAATCCGTCCAGAGAGTGCTTTAAGCGGTATGGGGCTGTATAGAAGTAGTACACTTTTCTTTTTTTGCTTCAAAACAACTGCTAAATATATATCTGTACATATCCTATTCACAAACAAGTGAAATACAGCACATCTGGGGGGGGGGAGAGAATTAAAATGTTCCCAATTCCACAGGTTATGGGATCAAGCTTGCAAGGTCAAGAGGACTGATATCACAATGGCCTTTGTTGCACAGAGAAAGAGCAGAAGCTCTTTTATAGGAAGGGAATGTCTGATGCCCAAGGTGAGTTCCCAGCAGGAATCACAAAGAAGTTCAGTTGTACTTCTTGGGGACTTCTTTACATCAACAGGTAATTACCTCTCCAGCTCACTCAGGCTAGATCTAGTGGCAAATCTTGAGCCACTTGCTTCTCAAAGCCTGGCCTAGGGCTAGAGCAGGAGTGACCACCTTTCTTTTCTTCCTCCTTGCTCCTCCATGGAGGAAAATCTAGTCGAAAGGACTGGGGAGGGAACCTGCCTGTAACTTCTCAAAGTCGCCTTCAGCGGAGCGATGAGGAGCTGTGGGGTGGGGGAATAAGTTGAAACGACAGCAGGGGGCACTTTGCAGCCATCGGTGTTGCTTCGTAAGTTTAATTTCCAATTTAAACTTGAGAAATAAGTCCAAGTTCTGATTTATTTATAACAGTTAATATAATTTAAATAAAATTCAAACTGAGCTACCATCTAATTAACTAAAAAACAAACCCAATTTATTTCGGCTACTGCTGTCTTCTGAAGACTGGCTATCTTTAACTCCTCCGTCATCTCTCGGTAAGAGCTTCCTTTTTTTGGAAACAACCTCTGCTGCCCCCACATCCGTAATTTCTATCCTGCCTTGTTTGACAGAGCTTGGAAATATGATATAAACATGTAAAGGTCATTTTCTTTTTCTAACTAATCAGTCTGAAGGTATTAGATGCTTTAGGTCCGATGTGTAATAGCAGGATCCCTATGAAATGCTTGCATCATCAGCTGAGATAGTCATCAGTCTGAAAGTGCAGCTCTGGCTTGGGTGTAGCACTTTACTGTCCTGGAAACCGGTGGAAGAGAAAGATGATGCTTTGGTGCACTGTCCTTTTTTCTCATACTTGAGGGCTCTAATCTGGTTTAAGAAGAGCATCCTTTGTTCTTATTTTCACCCTCCTCTTCCCTCATGTCTACAAAGACGGAAAGATAATATGTGGAGGATAGAAGCAGCCTATTTTAAATTAATGCCAATTGAGTGAAAGCTGATAATTCTATCTATGCTTAATTCTGACGGAATCCATTTAAAACATAGTAGTACTGACAATGATACACCTTTTGCTGAAGTTATAGGCTATGCAAAGTTTGAAAGGAAGTTCTGTCCACTTTCTATGCTGGCATTTCAAGGTCGATGCAGGTAATAAAACCACTGCCAGCATGTTAGACGCCCCATTAAAGGGGCAGTGGCTCAGTGCAGGAGCAGACAGGCAGGAAGATCAACTGTCTAAATAGCTCGCATCAAATGAGGCGGAATCCAGCAATAAAGCATGAGGTAGTCACTCTCCCCATCTCCACCCATCACTGTGCCTGCACATTTGGACATGTTTCTTGACTCATTTATAATGTTATGTGTGCAAAGATCTGAGTGGCCTGATGCTGCCTTCCATCACATTGCTTAGTGGCTCACGCATGGATGTTGTTTGTAAAAGATTCTCACAGTTTACACAAGTGAAGAAGAGGCATTGTATGACTTTCCCTGTGCTCCTTCTTCATGCTGTCTAAACTTCCATGGGCTACATTCCTGGCAGACAGCAGAAAAATCATGGTTTTGCCTATTTCCACTTTCTGATTCCAAGACAGACTTGAATCTACAAGTTCAATTGTCTTTGTCAAATCTGACGTGTAACCAAATGCCTCCGCATTGGTTAAAAATAAAACAAATAAATGGTGAATCATTCAATCCCTAGCTAAACCAGATGTATTTTCTATACAGGAGAGCATCCCCTCTCCTCCTGTCTTCTAAGCAACAAAATAGCTGAGGCCATTTTGGAATCTAGCTTGCCAGATGCTGTGAGTGAGAGGTTTATTTTGGTTTCCGACCGAGAGCCAGAAACACTTAACAGGAATGATGTAGTAATTTTCTTCATTTCTAACAAGTTCCCTCGACCTGAATCAATAGCATTTTCCATTTCCAGCTAAGGGCTAGGTCATATTTTGAAGCATGAAATTTCTCTACGTATTCAACTAAAGAAAGAACGCTCTTTTTACATTTATTTTTAATATCCCTACTTTTATGTTCTGATCTAGCTTTATCCAGATGGGTTTGCTTGTTAAATAATACCTACCTTATGATATTCAAAACATCATACATCTATTTTAGGCATGTGTTTATAGTGAGTTAAGGGACGATCTGAGATTCAGGAGTTCGACTGCAGAATTGTCTTGCTTCTAGCCTAAGTTCAATGTTGTCATAGAGATCTTAGAGAACTGGCTCTCAACTTTAGGCCTCTAGATCAGTGGTCCCCAACCTTGGGCCTCCAGATGTTCTTGGACTTCAACTTCCAGAAATCCTGGCCAGCAGTGGTGGTGGAGAAGGCTTCTGGGAGTTGTAGTTCAAGAACATCTGTAGGCCCAAGGTTGGGGATCACTGCTCTAGATGTTTTGGATGTACTCCCAGAACCCTAGGCTATTGATGATGCTGATTGGAACTTCTAGAGGGTGATGTCCAAACATCTGGAGAGCCAAAGACTGAGAATTATTGGCTTAGAGCAATGGTTCCCAACTTTTGGTCTCCATATGTTCTTGGACTACAACTCCCAGAAATCTTGGCCAGCATAGCTAGTGGTGAAGGCTATGCACCTATCTAGAAGTTAGACAAAAACATTGTTTCCCTCCAACAAGGGCAGAAAAAACACAGGAGGCTGCTTGCACTACACAGAAACCACGGTCTAGTGTCACAAAGTGACTAAACTGCATAATGACACTATCTGTTGCGGCTCCCAGACTCTGAAATGCCCTCCCAGAGGAGGCTAAACTGGCCCCATCTTTACTGTTCTTCCACAAGCAGGTGAAGATCTTCCTCTTCAGGAAAGCTTTCCCTGAAGGGCAGCCATGTGGGGTTTTTTTTTTAAATGGATTGTTCTGCCTTACTGTAATGGGAATGTGTTTTGGACCTGTTTATGTTTTTTGGGTCCTGAATTCATTAATCCTTTCAGTATTGCATACTCATCATTACTAACTTAAAAACTGTCTTTAATTGTTGTAAGCTGCTTTGGAGAAAGCTGCTTAAGGAGAAAGATGGGTTAAAATTAATTAATTAATTAATTAATTAGTTAATTAGTTAATTAGTTAATTAATTTTCAAATGTCATCTCCCTCAAGTCTTGTGGTTCAAAAGACAAGAACAAGGTTTTTCTCTGAACAATTGTTAAGTGAGTCAGGATGGAAGTCTGATGTCAACTCCTCTTAAAAGCAAGTGAAATCTTTGGAAACACATGAAGACTGAAAATTAGCTCTTGCTTGCTCATCACAGATAATACTTGTAATAACTGAGTACCTTCAGTGCTGGATGAGGGAGTATCGCCTGGCTATATGGTACAGGGAACCACGAGCAAACTCCTTAGACAGCAGCATCCCTGGCTTCCCTCAGTAGTGAGCACTCCAGCTAGGGAAGCTGGGACTGGAGTAGCTTGGTGTTTTCAAGAGAAGAAACACTCACATTATGATGGCCCATTAATGGTGATGGCAAGTAGTAGCAAGAGGCGGACATATTACAGAGTCTGAATCATATAAAATAATATGGCTGCAAATTTCAGTAATGCGACATCAGCGCAACTTATTGAAGGTTACAAAATAAAATATCAAGGACCTATTCATTATGCACCACTGAAACAAAGTAGTGAGTGGAGCAAGTCAGATTTTTTAAAAAAGGATGACAACTGTCAGAGAGCAAAGCTTTCAGGGAGGTATCTTTGAATGCTTAAGGTCCTGTGTACAACATCTAGCAGTCTCAATGCTATGCATTCAAGTCTGTTTGTTTCACTGTAGTGCTTTGATCCATGCTAGTGCAAACATCATGACTCAAAAGTTACTCAGGAAGTATATATGAAACCATGGGGAAGACTAAGCGCGCAGTGGGTTTGGGAGTGTACAATTAAGTACCATTACCTGATAAGCTCATATATTCCGCATGTGAGAAGAAACATTTCCCCTGCAAACTTGCACAGGTAGAAACCAGTGATGAGAGGAGGAGAGGGGCTAGCTCTTCCTCTCCATGTGTGGTAGCTCATGCAGGTAGGAAACAACTGAATAAGATTATAAATTCAAACTGAACCCAGTGTTGAGCATTTCAAGCATCATACAGCAGCATATAAGTTTGTGGTTCTCTGTTGCCTTCTCCACTACTTACATATTTCAGTTTACTTACTACCAGGAGTTTTCTAGCACGGAAGGCTTAAATTTATATATAGATATTTGTAATGTTTGACAAATATCATACATAAATCATTTTCAGAGTATTTTGAAAATAATACATTTATGGTTTTAAAAAACACTACATTGGAACCAGTATATAACCAGTATATACAAAGTGATGGAAGAAATATACAAATGTAAATAAATTGAAAGTGCTCTTGCTTTTGATTCCAAGCCATGACAACTCTTTAAATGGTAAATACTAATTTATGCACTAGTTTATTGTCTATACAGATCTCATGGCTAAAATAAATATCAGCCAAAATCCTGTTTCTTAGTGTAGTAAAGCACACTAGAGTAGGCCAATTGAATCAATGTGGATTTAGTAAATCACCCTTCTGCTCATGTGTCCCAGGACTGGCATACTGCCAGTCTGAAGATAACATATAGCTGTTGTAAGCAGCATCAGTCCTAAATCTCTCATCAATTTACTTTTATGGACAACCCCAGGCTCTGATACTCTGAGAGAGGAAAAACATATCTGCAGCCAGTTTTTTCGCACCATGTACACTTTCATATGCCTTTGCTAGGATGCTCCCAGCTTTATGAATTGGTTTTAATCATCAAACAACAACAAAAATCAGACAAGAGGTCTGCTTGTGATTTTAACTTACACACATATAAATCACCAACACGATTCTCGCCATTGTAGCTTTTTGTCATAAGAGAGATGCTCAGCCCCTTGATAGTTTTGGTGGCCCTTTTCTGAAACTTTGCAATATCTTTTCTAAAGGGACTAGGATGAGACATTTTATTCCAATAGAGGCTGCAATACAGATGTGCAGAAGTACTGTATGATCTGGGCAGATTCATTTTAAACTGTACAAGTGCCCAGCGTGCAGTTTTTGTTCTTCAGAAGTGATGAAGAAATGGAGAAAGGGTTGCAAATCTATTGGCCCTCCATTTGGGTATATGTGTGCATGGAAGCTGGTGGCTGTACAAGGACAGCAACAAGAAAACGGTAGCTACGTAACTAGATGCAAGTTGAAGACTCACTGTTTTGTTGGGCCAGTTGTACTTCTCAAAGACGTCCTGCACTCGATCTTCTCCTCCATCAGTGAACATCATGATCATCTTATTGCAATTAGCTCTGGTGATGTTGGACTGCAAGTAAGAAACAGAGTTATAGGAGAGAATTCCAAGGTAAATAGCGTTGGAAGAGAACTCCAAATGCATCTAGACATATAATGCATAGATAAGAACTGTGACTGAAAAAGAAAAAGGAGAGAGGAGACACACAAACATTATCTAAAAGAAGAATTTACCAAAATTACATTTGTTGTTCACAGCTCTCAGAATCTCCCAGCCCACTTATCCACTAGTCATACTGGCTTAGCAACCGTGAGGGACAAGAGTCTAATAAATGTAGCTTCTCTAAGTACTGCTCCTCTATACCATTCCACAAGGGAAATCAGTCAGGCCCAGCAGTAAAACAGTGATGTGTTCACCACACTTTGACAAAGCGTGCATGACATCCATAGTTTTTCCTACACAGAAATAAGATTAGTGAAGGCAAATACCCATGTATGAAACAGCCATCAGACTTCTCTGTCAGAACCAATTAAGGGAAAATGAGGTTTTAAATGTGAAGGAAAGCAGTGGCGGTGTGTCTGAGCATGCCTGTCAGTCTGGGTGCTCTCATGTGAATGTGTTCACGTGTGTGCCCATGCTTTTTTAAACATATAATAGAGAAGGGCATATTATGTATATGTCTGCATGTTTGAGCAGAATAACAGTAAATTCTGGAGCCAAAGCTTCCTGCGTCTCTGCCAGAAACTGGCAGTGAAGAATCTGTTTTCTTTAGCTGCTTCTCCAGGGGTGAAGGTGGTGCAGATGAACAGGGAGAAGGAGGGGCTGCCGGGCTGGAAATTATGTTGTGGCTATTACTGCTCAGCGATTAATAGGGCTATTCATCTTTATTTTGCCCAACGTCACTATAGCCTGTCTGATTCGAGCCCTCTCAGATGGGCCCTGCTAACTTTCAAATGAAATGGAAGATGCAGCTGCTTCCATTGGAACAGAAGTATCAGCTGCCAAACTTTTCCATTTATCTACAGAGGAGCGTGCGGCACCAAAGCCATGTTCCAATACAGCCCTGTTCCTAAAACATGAAAACACATGGATTGTCAGGAAGAGTCATGTTGATGCTCGCAGCCCCTTTTACCACTCTGACACGTGCTGTGTCAGTGGGGCAAATGTGGTAGGAAATGTAATGCAATGGGAGATGCTTCCAGAGGTTGCTAGGGAACAAGCTCCTCCACTTGCAGCATTTCCTCCTTGAAAGCAGAGACCATGTGGGGTAGTGGTAAGAATGCCGGAAAATGGCTGGGGGGATTTAGATATTTTAAACCACCATCCACCTGGTGCATTGATGGGTGATCTCAGGGGGATTAAGTCCTGGAACTCATGGGATGACTTTAAAATAGGCTAATCCCCCTCACAGAGTTGTTGTGAAGGTAAAATAATCTGTTCCTCCCCTCTCACTCACACTATATCTTCACAACAATCTCAGCTTCTTTGAAAGAAAGGCAATACATATATTAAACAAATAAATATAGACATGTAATGTGTTTGCAGCTGGCTTGATAGCTCAAGGAGTTGGGTACCTGGTTGGGGAGTCAGGGGTTGGGAGTTTGATTCCCCAATAGACCTCTTGGGAGAAAAAGCCAGCCTGTGTGGCCTTGGGCAAGCTGCACAGTCCCAGGGTTCCCCCCCCAGAAGATGGGAATGGTAAAGTATTTCTGAGTACTCTGTACCTAGGAAACCCTGAGAAGGGTCACTATAATGTAATTATTATTAATGTGTTTCTAGACCCATGGCAGCATTTGGAGCTGCAGCAGCATCTTTGTTAGCTTTAGAGGAGCTGCCCCTCCCCCCTTATTTTGAAGCATTTCCTGTAACTTAAATCTAAGCTTGGAAGCAACTAGTGACTTGATAGTCCAGGTTCAGCAATAGCTATGCTGTTTGGGAAAATCTGCGAGTTGTGGTTCAAAAACACAAATTTGAAGAAGGAATTTCTGTGGGAGAAATGTTTTAGGTTAAAATCCACTGTCCACAGGGAAAATTGAAAAAGAGATACCAAAGAGAACAGACTCCAGACAATGAAGTCAGACCATGGAGTTCTGTGTGAGCTTGTACTAGTATCTCAATTGGTTTACAGAACACACTACAAACCACCATCTTCCTGAGGCAAGAATGAGTCATTTCAAGAGGCCAAAATCTTTGCCACCAGTTCTCGACATGCGCCACACTGAGCCTAAAAATGGCTCTGGGGCAGCCTTGGGGAGGCTGCAAAAATGTCTTTGGGCACCACATACAGCCCACATGCTGTATGATGCCAGCCCTGGCCTAGGGGTTCAAGGCAGCCTACATTGGTACCTTTTTAACCTCACAACAATCCTACAAGGGAAGCTAAGGTGATAGGCGGTGACTGGTCTAAAGGCATACAAAGAGCTTCATTGTTAAAAGGGATGGGATTTAAACCTTGGTCCCTTTGGTTCTAGACCAAAATACATTCACTCAGGGTTTCAATCAAAAAGGATGTGAACTACGAGCAGACAAGGCACTTCTGATGATACTTTGTTACTTTTAGTTGGGAAACACCTGGAAAATTGCAACTATAGGAATTATATTGTTGTGTGAATTTGCAACATACTGTACTTATTGTTTACACAGTTGCAGGTAACCACTCTAGAGTTCATACATCTCAGGGCCAAATGAATTGTGCTGCCAAAGATAAGTGCAGATATTTCCAATGTTTTCCCCCTTCAGCAGCCGCTGGGAGGGGAAAGTTTGGGTAGTAGCTGCGGAACAAGGATGGGAATTGTCTACACATTATTATCTGAATACTATTAGCAGGAAAGGAAAGGAAATACTGGAGATTCATGGGAACATCTCTGAACTCGGCGTCTAGCTTGCCCCACATTCTCTCACATGTATTGTCTTGGAAGGTTTCCTGTCTTTACAGCTTCCCCAGGGATTTAAACTCTGTGCTTACATTTTGCAGCTGTTCAAAGGCATACTCAAAGCCAGCTTTGTAGTCTGTGGTTCCTTGAGCCTCCATTACTTCCACTTTCTCTTTGAAGACCTTCTTGTTGCGAACATTTGCCTGGACCAAGTGCTTGAAACAGGATACGGGTTGTGCTTTTTGGTTAAACTAGAAAGCCAGAGATAGAGAGTTGTAACACATTAGAAATCATGAACCTTGCCTGCACTTGAACTCCAGATCCTAAATCTATGCCTTTTATCTATCCATCAAAATTGAGTATGCCTCCTCTTTCTGTTCTCTTTCTGCAACCCAGCTTAACAGCAATATAAAAACAACATATAAAATGTAAATATTTTTATTATTTAATGATTTTAATGCCTTTTGTGATTTACATTGCTTTAGTTGTCTGCTAACCATCTTTCAATATTAATTTTAGTGGGAAGTTGTGATGGATATATATTAAACAAAACAAAATAACGGAAGCAAGAATTTTCTGAACATTACAACAAAATAACGGAAGCATGAATTTTCTGAACATTACGAAGACATGTTATCTTGATCCAACTAGCAAAGTCATCTACCTGGAGGTAGCTGAGAAAGTTGACTGGCAAATGAAAAAAAAATAACAGAGGCAGGTTCCCGTTGTTGGTCGAGACCCTGCAATCCCAGGGGCATTCAGTCCTCCTTACCATCATTTGCGGCTGCCACCCAGATTTGCTCCAGCTCAAGCCACTGAGACATCCCCAGTATTGCAAGGGTATTGCAGATGTGATGACCAAGGCTCAGTTGGAATAGAAAGCAGCCAGGTTGTTGGGGTATGTACATGGGAACAGATGGCAAGGAGAGGTTTGCTTTCCCTTCACAACAAAGCTCCCCCTCTATTTGGGACGACCTGCCTGCGGGCAACCTTAAAAGGATCTGACTGGCTCCCCAAGTGGCACACTCAGATTGGCTCATGCCATGAATTAAAAACTGACACAACTATAAAGACAATGAAACAGAATGAATCAATTAAACATAAATAATTATCATCATAATAAAAAAGAAAGCACAGAATTAAAACTATTTTAAATATATATTTTTAAAAACACAAACGAAAAAGAAAATGTGTAGCACCCACCATCAGAAGACCAGTAGCCTTTGAGTTGTCAAAGGCCTATCTAAATATAAAGATACAGTAGTTGCATACTGGATAAGAACCACAGGGAGAGATCCAGGTTAGCTTCCCCTAAAAGTAGGTTCCACATCCTGAGAGCAGCTATTGGGGAATTCATATCTGCTTCCCAGGATCACACTCTTTGTCTTAAGACTCTGAACGGGCATAGATTGGGAATATTTAGCCACAGAAGACAGAATTGCTTGGCTACGTCTGACACTGACTGCTTGGGGATCAGTCCAAGCCAACGCTCAGTACTGGTCAACCAAGGCAGAAAGAGAGCGAGAGAAGAGAAGAAAAACCCACTGCCTCAAAAATATTTTGCGGATTCAACCTTTTAACAAGATGAGGCCTACACGTGGCCTCAGGATGCCACCAGCACAAAAGATCTTCTGGCCAAGAAAAGTGAACTGGCGTTCATAAAAGTCTTCAATAGTGGCAATTCTCATTTAAAACAAGGAAAACTCACCACCCAACACACCCAGATTTGTTTACATGACTGGAAATGGACTTCTTGCCTCCTCTGGTCTGGTGCTTTTGGGTAGGCCTATGATAAACCCAGGAGAAAATGGCTCCCAGATTCCAGGTGCTAACCCATTTCTACCTTAAAGAACTACAATGTTTTTTTTTAAAGACAAGTGAACACCTAAATGATTCCTGTTAAATAGTGGTTCCCAATTTTGCTTAAGCCAGGTGTTCTTGGACTGCAACTCCCAGAAACTCCAGCTGGCACAGCTGATGGTGAAGGCTTCTGGGAATTGCAGTCCAAGAACATCTGATCTGAAGAAGTGGGCATGTCCACGAAAACTCACATTAAAATATAGCAGTTAGTTTTAAGGTGCCACAATGTTTTTGTCTTTTTGTTTGTTTTGTTTTTGCAAGAACATCCGGATTGCTCAAGGTTGGGAACCACTGCTGGAAAGTAATGGAAAGTTCATGGTATCCAGAATGTAAGTCATTTTCTTGTTGTCTTAATAGTTCATTGTTAACAACAATCAACATATACTTGATGTCTTCCTAGGAGTCACTGAAGAACAAATTTAGAAGTTGTAAACCACTGGAATTGTCAAAATACCTTCTCTACCTCACCTCTTTCTCTCATCTTTTGACTCCTTCCTCCACTACTCAGATATTGCCAAGGACTGTTATTACTTGCCTCTGAAAAACCCAGCACACGCCTGGTCCTGTTGTGAGATAAGCTAATCAATAACAGTGACTGCAGTGATCCAGGAAAGACTCATCACTGTACTCTCCCAAGCATGCTGAGGGGAAGAGAAAGATGCCACATTGTTTACTTTTCCCAATCCAACAGCTGTCGCCCGTTTTACAAAACAGTCTTAAGGCTCCAAGACTGAACTTTCCCCCAGGCCTTTATCTAGACATCTAACCAATCAGACCATGGGTTAAAAACAATCCTGATTCAGAATTAGAAATTGTTACAAGGCTTTTAAGATGGCATTCTTAGCAATATAGATGTTTGTCATATAAGAGTTAATATGAGGATGTTTTTGGAAAGGGTGTTCCTCTTACAGGATTGCCAGATTTCCACTACTTTATAAAACTTCTAGTGTTGGGAGAAGGAGCACCAAGGCATGTAACAAATAAACTGAAACAGTGGGGGCCAAAAGACAGTCAGATGTCTCTTTTCTCAATAATAATTATGTGTAGATTGGCAAATTGCTGTATGAAGAGTTTCTATGTCTCAGAAGTCAATATCATTTCTGCTGCCCTTTGTTACACAAAACTAGCACATGGCGTTTCTTCCATGATGGCTGCCAGTGTACCTCCAATACACAGAACTCAGCATTTGGGACTTCTGTAATCAGGTGTTGAGTGTATTCTTCAATTTTGACTTATGGTGACCCTTCTCAGGGTTTTCTAGTAAAGAATACTCAGAAGTGGTTTACCATTTTTTTCTGGGGGCAACCTGAGGCTGTGCACCTTGCCCAAGGCCACACAAGATGGCTCAGTGGGGAACTGAAATCCCAGCCTCTGGCACAACAGCTAGATATGTAAACCACTGAGCTGTGTGTGTGTCTGTGTGTGCGCGCGCACGTGCACACACAAACACACGCGTGTGTGTCTAAACTGCTCAGAGTAGCTGATTCTTGTTTAGTACGTGTGTGTGTCTGTGTGTGCGCGCGCACGTGCACACACAAACACACGCGTGTGTGTCTAAACTGCTCAGAGCAGCTGATTCTTGTTTAATATCCACAGATCAGCACTAACCTGCTACACTCTGTTAGTGGATACGCAAAATATGCCCATACATCGAAAGCTCAAAAAACATGGACAAGATTGCTAATTTTTTTAGAACTGCAGGATATTATGAACCTTCTTATGTTTTAGGACTGTTTCAAATTTTGAAAGAAAATAAATCTTTAAAAGAAAAGATTTCAATAGCATGACAGATACAAGGAAACTCTTATATATGAAGGAGAAAATAGCAGGCATCCACAGTTCTACTTCCGATGTATTCAGGAACACTCTTTGAATACTCCTTGGTGAGAAGGTATCCTATTTGAGGAACTCAGATTTTTTTTCTTTTAAAGGAAAAGCCATAGAAGACATTTCACCTCATCATCTGCATCTTGAGAAGGCAGAGGCCTGTTTAGGCCTATTAGTTTGCTGCCACACCTATCATGCCATTTATGGTGTGAGAGTAGGCAAGATCCTCAAATTCTGTTGGCTTAAAATACGTATGGGCACCAAGCTGGCAACTGGGAACCACCATACTGATTGTACTTCAGCCATGCAGAAAGACTTTAGTTGGCTTTTGGTTTGGTCCCACACATAATTAAATATTATCTTCATAGTAATGTGGAAAGGACTCATGCCTATTCCTCTAGAAACTCACCCATGGAACAAGGTTGTCAGCTGAGGCCCTACTCTCTCGGTGCTTATACTTTCAAAGGTTAGGCAGTAGGCAATGGGGAACAGCTACTCCCCTTGTGGTGCCACAAATATACAATATTCATAATGAACATCAAAATTATTTTTAGGTACCGAGTGAAGGCTGTCCTAGTCTTCCAAAACCTGGGCAGAATATTATAAAAGAACTTCTCGTGGTAGTTTGTACCAGTTATTAATGTGCATGCTGTTTCTACTGACTTTAGTTGTCTTGTTTTGTATTTTATTCTTGAGTAGTTTTAGTTTTTGTATTTTGTATGTATGTTGCCTTGGAGACCATTGGAGAAAAAGCAGAGAATATGCAAATAAAGTCATCCTTATGCCTTCCTTTGCTAGAAGCCTGTGACCCTTCAGCCCACTCTGCCTCAAGACTCTTCACTCATGCACACACCAGACCTTGTGTTCCTTTCGTCTGTCCCCTGGGGACAGAGGTTTTATTTTGGAAGCATTTGTGCAGCATCTTATGTGATGCAATTTGACATCTGGTTATAGTATGCCTTCCTTGTGCCACTTCAGCAGGGCAGAATCCCAGGGAAACCTCAACTTTGTATCTCATCTATCTGTAGGACTAGCTGTGCCTGAAAATTCCCATGGGAAAGGGGAGTAGAAACAGACATCTTAAGGCTGTGGGAATTTCTCATCCATGCCTCAGCCGCATATGATGGATAGGAAAGTGAATGTTCAGAAGGAAGGTGCCATATAAAGGCTAGGGTGCTCATAATACCCACCAGTGATCCATCTAGCTGGGCTCAGTGCAAACACTGTGAATGGAATCTAACAACAAAGGCCACCATTTTGGTTTTCGAAAAAGAGGGGATTACTTTGTAGAGTGAAACCATTCAAAAACACTGAGAGTCAACTCTACTCTGTTTTGGCAGAGATGGGATCATTCTTTCCTTCTCTGCACAGACAGCAGATTTCATGCCTTATCCATTTTTGGGCAGGATCTGCAGTAATTTCATCCAGAGCATAGAAAGGGTGATTTTTTTAAAAAAATCCCCAAACCAGTCTGGCTAATATATTTTTAAAAAGTAATTTTTCCAAGCTTTTAAGTGGAGCCACTGTGAAGTATAGTTGCTACATTTTGGCCGGGCACCAGACCTCGTCTGTGTAAATGAAGCAAAGGGAAATTAGCTTGCTACCAGTTTACAGCAGAATCTGCAGCTATGAATAATGCTGGTAGGCACTGGTATGGTATTACAAATTCATCTTTCTCTAGAGGTGCTCTTTACAGATACCACTTCCACTTCAGGAAGTATATGTATGCATGTGTTTTTTTAAAAAATCAGAGGCACTCAACAAATATTTAATTGAATAACCACACAAGCAATATTTTAAACAATTTTAAGAAATAAGGCAACTGGGTGAAAATATTAGGGAATGGGCAGGAACATCTTAATTGGCATTTGAACTGTTATCACTATGTATAGGAAGCTTACCTCACTCCATTAATGGGAGAAATGATCTATTCTTAGGTTCCTGTATTTTTAAAAATATATCTATATGCACACCATATTTAATATTCACTGTCCTTCCCCATGACCTGCCTTATGATCCATCACGACCCATATTATTTGTATGGGTAGTTTTATTCCAGGGTCTTACCCCATAGCGCCTTCCTCCTGTGGGGCCCACTGAGCTCCATGAAATTGTAATTTTTGTATTTTATCTTCCTATGTTTTATTGAATGCCAGTGGGGTGTAGTAGAAAAATGATGGTCTAGCCTCAGGAAACCTACGTTCAAATCCCCACTAAGCCATAGAAACCCAGTGGGGGCTGGCATTGAAACCACTCCTTAAATATCTCACATACCTTGACAACCCTTTTAGGATTGCCATTAAGCCAGAAGCAACTTGACAGCACATAACAATCAACAGTATTTCATTGCATCTGAATTTTGATGATATTGGTTAAGACTCTGGGCAGGTACAAGCATGCAAGAGAGAAATATATACATGTTCACAAACATGCTCACAAACTGCAGGGTCAGTACTTGTACCAAGAAATATTTTACGCTAGAAGGCACTCAGCTCTGTTAAGCATGCCAGTCTCACACCTCATCATGTGTTCAAGGAAACCCAGAATCCAAGCCCGCCCATAGACTGTTCTTGCCTTGGGCCTGGCCCGTGAAGAAGAAACATGGCTTTGACAGCTGGCCAGCTTCCTTTACTTGATTACTTGCCTCCTTGCTGAAGCTCTCCCTTCCCTCAAAGTCCTCTCCCCGCCCTCAAGCCCTCACCACAGCGAACACCTCGTGCGCACGGAATAGTCCGTCAAAGCTGGCATGGGGGAAATGGCAGCGGAAGGATGTAATTTATTTCTCGCAGGTGTGTTTTGTCATTTGCCATCGATCAAAGGCAGGGAGCAGTCGGGAGTGTGAGAAACGGAAAGGTGACAGAAATGGTAAATTGGGCTGCAGGAGCTGCAGGAGGCAGAGGCCAGTGCCTCTGATGGGCGTTTCCCTCTTCTTTCCCATTATGCGAAGAAATAAATACAGCAAAATAAAGAGCACACTTGTTTTCCCAGGGCTGGTGTGGCATTTTGGTTTGAGGTGCTTTCAGAACTCATTTTCTAGAGAAGCAGTTGTTTAACTCCTGGAGGCTGGTAAGTGCAAGGGCAGACATTAAGAGCTCCACACAGAAGCCAAGACAGAACGGCTCTGCTTTGCTTTCTGTGCCCTTCTCTTCTCAGCCAAACAACGCCGCCCGTGCTCCCCGAGTGGAACCTTCACTCGCCCCTCCACAGCAGTGCTGCACCGATCTACCTACGGCCTGTTCATCAGCTGCAGAGACTTACCTCAAAGGACTCCTGAGCCTATGCCATACACTTTGACTTTGTGGACACTCGGCTTCTCCAAAGTGGTGCTCATTAGGAAACACAGGTAACCTTTTTATCCTGAGTCAGAGCATTGGTTCACCGAGCCTAGTATTGTCAACAAGGACTGACCGCAAGGACTGGGTTTCAAGCTGGATTCTTTCCCAGCCCTGCCTGGAGATCTCTGGTAGCGTCTCATCTAAGTATTAACCAGCCCTAACCCTCAAAGTCAGGAAGGATTGGTATGTCCAGGGTGGTTATCGTTATATTATAAACATGTGGGAACTCCAGACTGTCTGGAATAACAAAATATCTTCAACAGCCTTTCATGTCCTTTATCCAATTAATGATTATCCTCAGTAGCTGCTGCCAGGCTGTGGGTCTCCGCTTCAAAGACTAGGCTTGGCCCCTCCCTGTCCTTCCATAGGCTGGAAAAGACCTTTTATGCAGGGTGGCTTTTTGGGCAACTGAGGAAGAGGTTTGTAATGGATGCTCTCTCTCTGATTTATATACTACCCCATTAGCATAAACACTACTCTGGGCAGTTTACAAGTTTAAACTTTAAAAAGCCCACAAGACTCCACATAACATCATATATTTTAAAATTATGGTGAACCCAGAACTGTAAAGTCTAACATTCATATAAAAAGAAACAGAATAGAAAAAAAATATGGAATCCTGGAGATTCCGTTTGTTGAAAGTAACTGTGGCTAATTCTGTTTTTACAAATTTCCTGAACATAAAGAGGGAAAGAACCTAGAATACCTGATACTTCGTCCTAATTTTTTTAGCCTCACTCAGTTGGGCCACTTTTAGCAACATGGATTGAGAAGAGCAGGTGGGATGGATAGCTGATTTCTGGGGAGAGACGTTCCAACAAGTATCAAGGTCCTAAACCATTAAAGGCTTTATTGGTCATAACGAGCACCTTGAGCAGACCACAGAAACTGACAGGAAGCCAATGAAGGTACACCAGGACTACAGATATACCGTGTTCCCCCCAAAATAAGACAGGGCCTTATATTAATTTATGCTCCAAAAACGCATTAGGGCTTATTTTCAGGGGATGTTTTATTTTACAGTCCTGTCATCTTCTTCTGGTTGCTGCACAATGGCGGAGAGCGGGGTTTCAATTAACAAGGGCTTATTTTTTGGGGTAGGGCTTATATTATGAGCATCCTGAAAAATCATACTAGGGCTTATTTTAGGTCTTATTTATGGGGAAACAGGGTGTGATCAATTTTACTAAGCCCAGTAGTCAGCCTGTCTGCTGTATTTTGGACCTCCTGGAGTTTCCATGCTGTTTTCAAGGGCAGCTCTATGTAGAGAGCATTCTCCATGTGGAGAGTGACTGGGAAGAGGAACCTCAGGCTGAAGTCCCCACACCCCAACTGTTGGATAGAGGAAGGGGCTATGAATCTGAGGCTGGACATCCAGGAGCCTACCACACCTCCAACATAACCTTGGTGCCTGCATCATCTAACAGGAGCAGTGGTGCCCACTCTGACTCAGCTATGGCACTGTAGTGCTGGCAACAAAAAAGGCTCCAGAAGTAGCAGAGGAGCAGGCACCTCTATCTCCTGACTGGCTCTACCAACTGACCTTGAAACGTCTTTGATCATCCCCCCTTCCTTGCTTTTAGAAACCACCCTGTGGATTTAACAGAGGATCCTGTTGAAAGGACATTCCCTTGGGGGTTAATGTAGGGAACTCAACCCTTCAGTAATCTCCTGGAGGAGGTTAAAGCCAATGTTCCTGTTGGTTCCTTGGTCACTGTCACAACCTGGAGCCCATGGAATTATTGCCAGGAGACTCAGCCATCACTGGAGGTGGGTCAGGTGATGCCCACACTGCATTTAAATTGCTTTTGACTTAGTTGTGTTAAAATATTAAAATTTGTTTACTTGTGTTTTAAAAACAATTTATAGTGTTTTCATTCTTGTCTCCACAACACCACAAGAAAAGATCCTTAAATGTAAGGACAAGTCACTGGTGACCAAGGCTAAGATTGTTCAGGTTATTATATGCCCAGTTATTCTGGATAAGTATGTACACATGTGAAAAATGAACAATGAAGAAATGTGACAGGAAAAAAAAATCTGTTTGATTTGAAACAGGGTGTTGCAGAAGACTCTTATAGATACCATGGATCAATTAAAGAATATAGTTGAAAGGGGCCTATAAGGCCATTATGTCCAACCTCCTGCTCAGTGCAGGAATCCAAGTCAAAGTACATTGACCCAAGTTGAGAAATCACTGTAGACATTATCAGTTGCTTGCTGCATCACCACCTCAATATTCAATGTATAATGTCTACACTGATTTCTTAAGATAATTCACCACTGAAAGTTATCACCATGTGTAATGCTAACATAACCAGGCAAAAGGATTTTGGCTAGTAAATTGAAAGCATGGAGGGAAGGAGATGAGATTATAAGAGGCGAGAGAGAAAGCAGAAGAAGGGAACAAAGTTCACTCTTGAATTCAGCATTTGCATTTGTTCTTATTTTGGAAGCATTTCTCCCTTATAAAATCATAATTGTCCATTCTCATTTTGGGCAGAGATTGGAATAAGAGTTGGTAAACAAAGGCTGTGACTGAAATAGCATAGAAATAACTGGTACGTAGGAGAAGAGTAAAGGAAAAATGAATTATATCCAAATTACGATCTCATTCTAATTTTACCACAGTTGATATCAAGGTGCACATTAGATGCCTAAGAATATTACTGAACGATGAGCATTAGAATTCACCACATCCGTTTCCTGTATCTTTCCTTTTTCCCCCCACCACGTTCCTGTTGTATCAACCCCAGATTACTCACCGAAGCCACATTAACATAGTCATCATCTGATAGTGTGTCCAGCATGTCATAGACTGAAGTCTTCATCAGCTTCAGAGTCAAGCCACTAACACTGCCACTCCTGTAGGGGGAGAGACAATGTCATTCATGCTGCCACTGCAGTTGCTTCTGGGAAAAACCAGAAAGATCTTCCCCTTTTTGCTCAGATGGATGTCATGAGAGTGACAACTACATTGGGCCCCACAAGCCTTTCAAGCACTGCTGCCTTTTTAGTGGGAGATAGAATAATACAATGTATCACACCCATTGGCCAGAGCAGGGGAACATGTGACCTCAAATCGCTAAATAGAGAGAAAAAACACTCACACATCCACAATGATCACCATGTCCTTGGGAGATGAGGCCCCTTGAATGTACCTAAAAAAAATTAAAGATAGATAAAATGAGGACAAAGCACTGAACAAGCTTCATGACCCCTCAAGGCTTCACAACTGTCACTATAGGACAAGCCGAGTCTGACCACTCAAGAAAGAAGGTCTGGGTGTAGACTAAAGAGAAATGAGTTGCTCATTTTTCATTATTACGTCTCAGGGGGAGACAGCC